ATACCTGGATCACGCGCACCTACAGTGCGTTAATGTTCGAAATAAGGCAAACAGAGTATTGGGTTTTATATCTAGAAGTGTAAGTAACAAGAGTGCAGAGGTCTTATTGCAACTGTATCTTGCGCTAGTCAGGCCGCACCTGGATTATGCGGATCAGTTCTTGTGCCCCTATTATAGAATGGATATAAATTCACTAGAGTCGGTGCAGCGAAGAATGACAAAAATGATTCCGGGACTTAGAAACCTTCTATATCAGGATAGGTTAAAGAAACTTAACTTGCATTCCCTAGAAAGACGAAGGGTGCGGGAGATATGATAGAAGTATTTAAGTGGGTGAAAGGAATCAATAAAGGGGATATAGATAAAGTTCTTATAATATCCGAGCAGGATAGGACTCGGAGCAACGGATTCAAGTTGGATAGAATGTAGGTTTTAGCAAGGAGATAGGAAGAAACTGGTTCACAAATAGGGTGGTGGACGAGTGGAACAAGCTTAGCAACTTTGTAGTAAGTGCGGGAACTCTGGTAAGTTTCAAAAGGAGGCTAGATAGATTCATGGATGATAGAGAGTGGTAGTAATTCTCGACAGGAGCTGCCATGCACAGGCCAACCGGCCTATTGCAGACTCCTTATTTTCTTATGTTCTTATGTTCTTATGTTCTTATATATATATATATATATATATATATATTCTTTCCAATAAATTTCTAAAATTTAGTTCAATAACAGGTCTGTTTCTATTACTTATACTGTATATTACTCCGTATTAATTATATCTTGCTATATTTTCCATCTATAAAATATACAATAGTTCTTACACTCCCCCTTTCCTGACAAATAATAATGAAAACTCCATCCTCAGTGTCCAATGATATATTTTATATGGTGGCACCATTTACATTTCTGAAATTAAATATGATAGATATGTATGAGTTAAGTCTCCATTCCAACACCAGAAAAACGGACAATACTGATGCTATTTATCTGCCTCAACCCAGAACTTCCTGAAGGTGAGACCTGCTTAATATTGATATAAATCCTGTAACCTGGAGAGTCGCAGTGAACTCCAGATATAAATCACCCACCCTGAACCATTTCTTCATCCCTGAATTATTGATTAGTGTGTACAATATTTAAGGTTAGTTCCTTTCCTTAATTAGATCTCACTCATGATAATGGATATGTGGATAACTATGATAAACGTTTTCTTTCATTGACTGTACAGTACATCCTATGTAAGTGAGGATTAAATAGCTCCTATCGTTAAACTCGGATTATACTTATATTAATTACCTCAAAACCTAATATCAATGTAGTTATGGTAAAAAATTCATCTCTATGTCCTTTGTTACTGCAGTTAGTAGTCGAGGGCGCAATTTTCAAGTTTTTAATAGTTGTTAGTTACTCACAGTTCATTATAATAAATGAGTGAAAGGTAATACGAGTAGTAGTTACATCAGAGGCAACGATACCTGGTAGAGGAGCGGCAAAGTGTTGAAAATTGGCATGAGGATTCAACATGGGTTAATTATCAAATCTCCCTCATTCGACAATGAAAATTCCAAGATGGCCACCAAAAGCGGATGTCCGATTTTCCTTTTAGGATTAAAGTTTATTGTGTTCATCAATTCAGGTGATTTCAGTGTTGATTTCCGTGTTTTTGAGTACGTAGAACCTGAATTTTGTGTTGAAAACTCTGAAATGGAGAGCATTCAAAGGAAACATGCTTATAAAGAGTAAATGTCAATGTACTACCAGGGCACACTGGTGACAACACTGCTGTGAAACTCAAAATGGGGTTCAGTGTCAACTAAGTACGAAACTTATATTAAAGATTAATTTATATATATATATATATATATATATATATATATATATATATATATATATATATATATATATATATATATATATATATATATATATATATATATAGATATATATATGTGTGTGTGTGTGTGTGTGTGTCCGTGTGTTACCTAATTAGCCTCAAATAAGGTTAGGTAGCCGCACCAGAATTGACAGAATGTACCAGCCTGGGAGAGCCGAGCCAAGAGTAATGGGGTTAAAGTTAGGGCAATCAATTGATTAAACCTAGTTGTATCTCATAGAAGGAAAGTACGCATGATACAGAGTGGTAAAAGGAAAAACATTCGACTCTGTACCACAATGGCGATGAATATTGGTCCTAAAAGTAATCCTGGGCCATGTGCTGTCTGTGTCATGATATAAAAAGGAAGAACTTAAATCTCCAAGGACTAACGCTACTAGAAGAGAGAAAGATGGCTACAGCAAATTAGCCAAGAATATTCCTCTTTTCAACTCAATCAATGCCCTTCCAATAAGGCTTGATATGGAAACACTAGATGATGGAGATGGTATTGCAGAGACAATGAGGAAAAATACTGCCAAATATCATGGGAGCTGTAGATTTAGGTGAGCAACATAATGTTGCAAAGAGCCCAAAAAGAGCAACCACCTCTGTAGTTGACAGTGATGAAGGTTGCCGAAGTAAGGTGCTATGAAAGCCAAGAGACACAAAAAACACAACAGAATGCTTTTTGTGTGACAAACCAGCACCAGAGAGTGCTCTCCGTCAAACAATGACAATGAAACTCAGTGACAGCGTCAATGAATGTGCAAAAAGACTCAGTGACAAAAGATCCCTTGCTAACTTAGTGCAAGAGATGTAGTGGCACAAGAGGTGAAATTTTACCCTGCTTGCTGAGCTGCACTGTACAATAGAGAAAGAGCTTATCTTAGTGCAAAGGATACGAAAAAAACACAAAGAACCATGAAAAAAAGATGAATATTCACTGGCTTTCTCTGAATTGGTGACATACATCAATGAGACAAAAACTGCATGTGAAGGTTCTCATGGAACAATTTTTAGACTAGCAGACTTAGTCTTACTGTACAAGCAAAGACTCGAACAACTTGGTGTCGAATCGCCTGAAATTTATTCTACTAGGCTTAAGAACCAATTAGTTTCACATATTCCTCAACTGGGAGCTCACAGTCAAGAAAGAGATGTTTTGCTAGCATTCCAAGAGGATGTAGGCTCCATCCAGGCTGAGGTTGGCAAATACATTGAAGCTGTTCATTTGGCCAAGGCTGAGAAAATAATAAGGCAGAATATGCTCAAACACTAGTCAAAATTCCTAACCATACTTGATGATAGAAGTATCGAATATGCAGCTCCTTCATCAGTTATGAGTGAACATGGTACAGATAATAAATCACAAATTCAGCATGGAGCATCCAAGTCAGTTGTTGCTATGTCATTAGCAACCATAATACGTCTCTAGAAGAGTTGATGCCATGCTCCCATGAAGAGGCAGATACCCGCCTCTTTGTACAAGCAAGACAAGCTGTAATGGAAGGCAGTAAAATGAGTTCTCATAAAAGCCAATGACACAGATATCATTGGTCTTGGAGAAATGTGGATTTCTTATGGTCATGGGGCTTAGGGACTTATACAAGATGGATTCCTGTTCATGAGTTAGTTGTAGCCATAGAGCCTGAAAAAGCCACTAGAATCACATTTTTCCATGCATTCGGTGGTTGTGATGTTGTGTCAGCCTTCCTTGGAAAAGGTAAGAAGCCTGCATGGCAAACATGGAATGTGTTAAACGAGTTCTCCAGTACCTTCATCAAACTCAGTCAGTGTCTTACATCAGTTAGTGAAGAAGACCTCCGTGTCTTAGAAAGGTTTGTGGTGGTGATGTAAGACAGGGTTAGTCCACCATGTAAAGCGTGCAGCCTATCAAGGTGGAATGATTTGGAGGTCAGGTAACTGCAGCACAATCAGACATTCCAAGTCCTGCTAACTGGGGCAGCGAGTTGTCAAGAACTGACCAAGTGTTCTTGCAAGAAAGACTGTGGATAGCGATGTAAATGTATCAGCTCAGGTCCCACTTGCACAGCTCTGTGTGCATGCACATACCAGCAGCTGTAAATATGAAAGAATTCTTATAGCAATATCTCACAAGGATATGAGCAAAAGATAAACATGTTTCTCATTGTTTAACTGAGAATTGCTTACACATTTTATGAAAAGAGGTAAAAATATGCGTTGAACCGCTACTTTATGCATACAAGACATATCTGAGTGTTCCAAAACAATCATAATCTGTTCCAGCATGCTTTAAAACATAAGAAAAAACACCTTATGTGCACAGATTGCCCAATAATAGGCCAATATATGTACAAATTGTTTTCAGTTTGGCAAATTTGGCGGCCATCTTGGAAAATGGCTACATCTTGGAATTTTTAATGTTCAATCGGATAGATTTGATAAGTAACCCATTTTTAATGTTTATATGAAATTTCATGCTTGTATGATCATTTATGATTTACAGGATTACTGTTATCCGCTCCGTTAATAATGTCAGGGGAACAGAATAGCAGTGGGGTTTGTGTGTTTAAGGCAAATAAGATAACCTTTATTTTTCTAAGGAATTTTCAAAGCTAAAAATGGATTTAAGGACTATAAATATTACCTTCAAATGCTCTACCCTTATGATCCCCAGACACAACGTGAAGGTCGTTCTCCAAGGGGCTGGCAATGAAGGCTCACAAATGGGATAATTTCTGCAGCTTTTTCACAACACTCAAAGATTTTCATAAGTGACAAAGCTCCATGAGGTGCCGCCTGTTATATAGCAGAAGTTAACAAATTTAATCTTTTCAAATATGAAGTTTGTGTTACTCAATTGGTTAGTGGAGCTTAACTGACTAATGAGGAAACAGTCATGCAGTCAGCCATCACCTGAGGGAGGTATAAAAGCACTCACCTAGACTTCTCTACATACAGTCAACAACTGAACTTGATCCTCCCAACATCGGTATGGTAAGACTTATTATGACTTAAGTAATTTATCATCGTCTTCTATAAGTGCATTCTTCACTTATCTTATTAATAACAGTTCAGCTCATCAGCAAGACGAGTAAAGGAGTTGCTGGTATAGGTGAAGGTATAGGCACAAGTTCAAGACAGATTTGAAAATTATATTTTGAACTAATGGTTTCCAGCTTCACCGTAGTAAATTATGTGCAAAAGAAAACTTTATATCAGACAAATGTTACACATATCGTGTTTTTTGCACTCAAATAAATAATACTCTTCTCTGTCATTGTTAGTGAAGTTTCAGTGAAGCAAACCTTTTCTCGTTGATTTACAGAAAGTAACTGACCTAACATCTCTGTGGTAAAAGAACTTATTTATAGTATCATTATATTAACTGATAATAATAACCTTAATATAAATTGTTTATCTCTGACAATTTCAGACGCAGTTGCTTGTGACCATGGTGGTGGGGCTCCTGGCTGTGACCTGCCTCGCCAAGCCAGAAGGGCATGGTGGTGGCGGCGGTGGCGAAGGTGATGGCGGCGGGTATGGTGGTGGCGGTGGTGGTGGCCACGGAGGTGGTAGCGGAGGCGGACATGACGGCTCCAGCGGCGGCGGTGGCGGGTATGGCAGCTACAGCGGCGGCGGTGGTGGGTATGGCGGCTCGAGCGGCGGCGGTGGTAGGTATGGCGGCTCCAGCGGCGGCGGTGGTGGGTATGGCAGCTCCAGCGGCGGCGGTGGTGGTGGCGGATCCAGCGGCGGTGGTGGTGGACGTAACGGCTCCAGCGGCGGCGGTGGTGGTATGGCATCTCCAGCGGCGGCGTTGGTGGGTATGACGGATCCAGCGGCGGTGGTGGTGGGTATGCCGGCTCCCGAGTAGCGGCAGTGTGGAGCATAGCGGATCAGCGGTGGCGGTTATGGTGGTTCTAGTGGCGGCAGCTATGGCGGTGGGAGTGGAGGTTATGGAAAATAAATGTAAACATAGAGAAATGAGACACACCAATACTAAGTTTCCTGAACTCTTCTTCGTCAGTTTGTGTCTCGTGATTCTTGTGTTGTAATAATAAAACTTAAACGACTGTGAAAATAACTTTGATTTACCCCAAGTTCGCTCTCCTGACATCACTTACCAAGTGTGGTATAAGAGCAAATAAAGTGTAATGTACACATCTGAATTATAATAATAAACACATAGCTCTACTGTATTAACAATTTCTACAGTTAGGTGTAAAAGAAATGAAGTTGTTTAGTTTTTTGTGATGTGCTACCTAAGTTAGTTTTTGATATACTATAAACATCTTCATTTTATCTCTATATGAATAAAAAGATGTCGACAATTTTTTTTTTCAATTACTCAGTTTAAAATTTACCTTTTTCACGTAAATGTTAAAATGATAACGTGATTAAAAGACGCTTACTTATTCTTATGGTAAAACTTGATGTAGAAATTCCCATAACTTAGTTGATAATACAGCAAAGTTATTACTTCCACTAACTATGCGATCATGGTTTTCTGAATATCAGTGGAATATTTAAATAGTATCATTAAATGTAGCGGGATAATTCTTCGCAAATTGTATCCAGGACAAGAGACTAGATGTATCTGTATTTTTTTTTTTTTTTTGGATTATAAAAATGTATTTTAATGTCTTGGGAAGAAAAAATCAATATTCTCCCCACGAGACATAATAAACTTATTTAACCCTATGGAATAAATTTTAATGTTCGTTTTGGAATATATTGAGGCGTAAGATCAAATTTCACTTAAAAATCTTTACTATTAGGGGAAAATAATGACCCTGCAGAATGATCTTTTATTGTCTATACTCTAACAAGTAACAGAATTGCCACTTAGGGTGTTAGAGGCACAGATTCTTATAATATATATATATTATACCTGGAGTTATGATAATTACTATGTACCTGTAGTGATAATAATTACTATGTTCCTCGAATGATAATAATTAGTATGTACCTGGGTGACAAGTACACCTTCTTTCATTTGCAATTGAACATTTGACCACTTGCCTTTAACAATCAAGATTTTGGAATGACAAATTTCTATTTGCTTTCAACTATTTTCCGAATCCATTCAACAATCAGTTATTTTGATTTGACAATTTACAAAACCTTTCAACAGCCACATATCTCCGATTGCTTTCAACAGTCTACCAAACTTTTCAACAATGCGACTGAAACAATCATCATTGAAAAGAATTTATTCAATAATCTTTAAAATCAGTAACAGCCATGAATATTTAATTTTTGAGTATACTTACACAAACATCAACAACACAATGAATTCTGGTATAAACATATGTAATTATGTAATGTCTTTAGTCTTTAGTATGTAGTAGCTACATAAAACATAC